TCCGAAAGAACCTTGGAATACAGCCTTTGCTTCTCCAGACTGAGAAGTGACAGCTGCGATGGCTTGGGCATGTGTTGCGAATGCCTCCTGAAAGGAAGGCTAAGCAACTGTTTCTTGGAAATCCGACTGGCGAAAGGCCCAGGGGACGGCCAAGATTAACCTGGTGCAAACATATGGAAGAAGTCTGTTCCAGACTGTATTTGTCTTTTGCCGAAGCTCAGACTCTGGCACGGGATCGGGAACGTTGGAAGCACTGTCTGACGCATCTGCCTCCGCGAAGAAGAGAAGCGGCCATGGAAGATGAAGCAGTTTAGTGGAAATTATTTGGATAATTACGCAAAATGAAAGTGACATCTGTATATCTTACATATAGTGCAGTTTTGAGGTGAAATGAACAGAGAGAACGGGCGTTGGACTGCAAATGATTCATTTAGGTTTGACTAAGACTACACTAACAGGAAAACCCGTCGGGAAAACGCAACACTATTTGTGTATTGCACTATCAAGCTTAAAATAAACACTGCAGGTTATTATATTAATTGGGGAAACAATGTCTTCCGGATTAAGGTAACTATTTTCCTGCAGGGTAAAACCCTTAGAAAACATGCTGTCCACGAAGATGATCCTCACTCCAGCTTGGAGAGAAAAAACGTGGTCTATCAGAGAACTTCCAATAGCTGTGACCGAGTATATATTGATCAGACCTGTTGAGCACAGAATAGACTAGGTACTGTCATATTGTACATTCTGGGTTTTTTGCGTTGCTCATGCCCTGGAAAATGGTCATGGCTTTAACAACAGCAATGTAACGGTGGTCGATCGACATCGGGCCAAGATGAAGCTGTTAATCAAGGAGTCGTTGCACATCGATGCCGACAAAAATAGAACTTGCAACGGTTGCACTGGCTCCATTGACGTTTCTGCAGTCATGATCCATAGGCTTATTGGCGACCGGTCTAGCGTGTAATCAATCGGGTCAAACACCAACCGAGTAGCAGTTTTGTTTCTGTTTCTTGCTCGTTCACCGGTGATGATGACCGATGCCATTCGGTCGAAACGTTGGAATTCTTGTAAATAAAATTATTTCCTTGTTTCTAGCGCTGCCAACCGTGGAATCAGAAGCTCTATAACCTTCAAGTCATCTACGGCACGGTTTCGGTGTCAGCCTTAGAAATTATTTATCAAGCATCCGATGTTCGCGTCTTCTTTCACCTCGTTTAGTGAATTTCATGTTCTGACGGATAAGATCAATTTGCTCTCTGAGTTCGTTGAGATGGTTGTTTGCGTGCGGTAGCAAGATCAAGAAGTCGCTTTAATGCAGCTGCACGCGCTTGGCTTACGCTGTCTATAATACTTGTTTTGTCTGTTGACATTCTAC